CTGGGAATACCCTATTAATTCTAAGGGAGCCACTGGTTCTACCACTAAACAATTATGACAGGCAACAGAGACATCAAGTGTAATAAAATCACGAAGGGAAAATACTACCTAAACTTTGCCCAGCATCAGCAAATATAGTCTGAATCAGAAAGAGAAAGGTGAGGCTTTCTTTACCAAGATGTTTTTGAGCTAATAAATAGACTGTAAAGGAAACTGGAAAATGAAACTCAAGTTTTGTTTCAGGAAACTGAAAAATGAAACTCAAGCTTTCCTCCTTTCTGGAGCAGGAGTTCATCTAAATAGTACTTATCAATTACCAACCCTCAAACAGGAAGTGGGTGGGGGAGGTGGGTGGTGAGGAGCACACACCCAGCACACACAAGAAAGCTAACATCACTCTGTGGATGAAGCCAAACTTATCTTCCCTGATCTGCCATACATTTCATAAATGACTTTGCCCAACGTAACCAAAGTTCAGTTTTTTCACTTTCCTTTTCACTAAAACTGATTCTGCTGACTCAACTTAGAAGAATGATATGGAGATTTTAAAAACAAGTAAGATGTATACAATGATTTCATGATTTAAAATGTCATGAAAGCTTTACACACACATTATATTTGAGATGATCATACCCATTTCATGATATAAGATGCTAAATCCATTTATGTACACATTTTTGTTTTGTACTTTGTACAGAAATTTTAATGTGATAACATAAAGGAATATTTTGTAAACTATAAATGCTGTATAACTAACTCTAAATTTTTATAATTGTTACTTTCACACTTACTTTTCAAACTCCTAAAATATCAGAAGTCCTACTTTTAATATTTTGATCTGATTAGAAGACTTTATATTTTGAAAGAATGGAAAATTGTATTATATTGTTTCCCATTCTTTCAACATTCACATAGCTCATAAAATAAAATCCCACAGTTCTTCCTCATTTGTTCCATAGCTAAAACTCAGAAGACATGTTGCAAACTTAAGGAAAGCAGGAAACCATTTGGTTGTTTTGTTTTAGCAAGTTCTGAGCAAACAGAACAATTCCTTTAGTCAAGTAATACTCTTGGAACTAACTTTGCTTTGATGCCTAGGACTCAAGACCTGCACTTTCCAATAGCCACTAGCCACATGTAGCTATTAAGCATGTGAAATGTGGCTAGTCTGAATTAAGATGTGTAAAACACACATGGGATTTTGAAGACTAATACCAAAAAAAGTTAAATAACCCATTAAAATTTTTTTGTGTTGATAATATCTTAAAATGGTAATACTTGAGCACTTTGTGGGAAATAAAAATATTAAAACTATTAAAGTATTATGATAATAAAATAAATTCAATTATTATAATAAAATGATAATATTTTGGTCATATTGTGTTAAGACATTATGAAAGTATTACATTTTATTAAATTAGTAGTAAATGTTTTAAAAACATGTCTCTTTTTAGTTTTTTTGTTTTTTTTTTGAGACAGAGTCTTGCTTTGTTGCCTGGGCTAGAGTGAGTGCCATGGCGTCAGTCTAGCTCACAGCAACCTCAAACTCCTGGGCTCAAGCAATCCTGCTGCCTCAGCCTCCCTAGTAGCTGGGACTACAGGCATGTGCCACAATGCCCAGCTAATTTTTTCTATATATATTAGTTGGCCAATTAATTTCTTTCTATTTATAGTAGAGACGAGGTCTCGCTCTTGCTCAGGCTGGTTTCGAACTCCTGACCTTGAGCTATTAGCCTGCCTCGGCCTCCCAGACTGCTAGGATTATAGGCGTGGGCCACTGCACCTGGCCTCTTTTTACTTTTTATTGTTTTTGAGCATCTGGGTACAGATGGGTGGAGGCTGAAAAAGGCATGCACCTCTTTTTACTTTTTAAAATGTTACTAGAAAAATTTAAAAAACTATGTTTTTGGCTTATATTATGTTTCTACTGGATAGTGCTGTTCTACACCAAGAGTTACTTCCATTTCTGAAACCCTATCAATATTTTTGCTAACGTGACTACACCCATTCATTAGCTCTCCTAGGGAAAGTGGAGAGCTGTCTGTCTTTCAGAGTCATTCACACTATAGCTAAGGAATTCTCTACTTGAGAGAGGCAGGCAATCTGAGGTGGGCCTGCTCATTCATACAGAACCTAATTTTCTTCTCATATTATTAGAATTTCCTTCTCATTAGGTAGGAAACCTTGCTTACCTCTGTGATTAGTATGGGAATTCCTGGGTCTGGCCTCCAGATGAGATCTTCTTTCCTCCATGTCTGAGTCACCTGAATTTTTCCGTGTTCACGTTACTTTCAGTTATCTGGAAAACTGTACAGGTTCAAAGTTATCAGTGCCCTTGAAACACTGCCCTTGAAACCTAGCAACAAAAACCCAAACACCATCAAGCCAGTCCTTTCTGCCTCTGTTAACATTTTAATAATCTGTTAACTAATCGTTCAATACAGATTTTAATCAAGGGCACAAGTGCTCAACTCTATGAATGTCCAATTGTGACACAAAACATTAAATTCACAATTTTGAGTGATTTTCCCCCAGGGTGAAATTCCCCTTCCCTTTACCCTTGCACTTTCTTGGGGAAGAGGGAACGTTACCAATTCCCATTCAAAACTACTGTTTGGTTTATGCCTTTAGCCAAGGTACTTAATTGGTTGCTAGGTTTCATTTTCCTCTCTTATAAAGCAAATGTTGTTGTCAGGGCAAAAAGGAGTACATTTTTGTTAACTCCAAACCATGTACTCACCACCCTATCTGGCATTTATATTACATAGTACTCTATAGCTTGCAATATTCTATAGTTTATAAATAATTAGTGAGCAGCTATCACTTATCCTACTCTTTGAAACAGAGCCAAATGATTAAGCCCTCCACTCTACTGAATCAAGAGAAAGAAATTACATGTTTCAATAACCAGGAGGCTTGGCATATTCGAGGTGCTGTTTCCTCTGGACCAGCTAGAAATCACCAATTCTTTCTTTCTCCTCTTTCTTCTATCTTGATGATTTTTGACACTTGTCCTATAAAGAAGAAGAGGAAGCCCCTTTAAGGGAACTTCTCACTCCAACTCATAAACATTATGTGGGCTACGGCTAGAGAAAGAGTAGGTGACTCAGAGTCCTCAGCAAAGGGATTTTTTAAACTGTCCCCACTGAGTTTTAAAATATTCATACTTGGAAACTGTGAATAGATTTGGCATTATATGAGGGGTAGCTTTTGTCCTCATCGGAAAAAGGAGTCCCTATTCTTCCCTCTGGGAAGATTTCTGGTGAGTCTCCTCCTTCATCTTATCAAACCCAGCTCTCATGGCTCAGGTTCAATATTTAGAGTTTGGGGTTTTAAAAAATTCTCCGAGGATAAAATTCCTTCTTCCTCTTGTTGTAAGATACTAAAATAGAAACCTAGAAATTTCCTGGGATAAAAGAAATGGAAGAAAAGAAGAGAAAAAATAAAAAGAAATGTTAGAAAGAAAAGACTAGGAAAGGAAGGGAGTGGATAGAAACAGGAAATGCTGTGATAAAAACAGACTGAAGTGGCTTTTTGAGGGGGAATCAAGGCCTAAAGGGCAGGAAGAAGAAAATCAGTGACGGTCAAGCTGGCATAGGGGTCAGAATCAGAGGAGAATGGTAATTACCAGGGTAGGATGACAAAGGTGGAGGCAAGAGGGCAGAAGAGCTGGGTTTGGCGGGGTGGGCGCTGGGGGAGTCTCCAGGGTCCTGGAGGAGTCAGAGGCACCCGGGCACCCACTCGTTCCTGAGGGAAGTATTATGGGGTCAAGGGAGGGGCCAGGCTGTTGTGGTGCCTTGTGAAGGAAGGCACCGTGCCCAGGCCAAGGCGGGGGACATGGGAGAGAGCTGGGGAAGTGTAGGGGGCCTCGGGAAGAGGGTGGGGCAGAGTCCATCTGGGGGGCTCTCGAGTAGGGATTGGGCAGCTGGGGCGCTGAGGATGTTTTGTGGAAGATGGGGCATGAATGAGATGATAGGAGGCGAGGCCAGAGAGAGACGAGAGGTGGCTGTAGCAGCCAGGGAGGGAAGAGACAGGGTGAGGGATCGAACCGGTGAGGCCAGGGGCAGAGGTGGGTGTCGGGTGCCGGGGTGGGCACCGTGACAGCGGTGCTGGGCGAGCTGAGGGGATGGGGGACGCTAAAGAGAGTACAGGGGATCAGGGGAGGGTGAAAGGAACGCCGGAGGCTGCGGGGATGACAGGGGCGCTGGGAGAAGGGCCAGGGGCTCCGAGGGGGTGAAGGGGGCGCCGGGGCTCCGCGCACAGGCAGGAGCGCAGGCAGTGGCGGGCGGCGCGCGGCGCGGGCGGGGGTCGCGGCGGGGCAGCAGGAGCAGGTGCAGGGCTGGGTGGCCACTCACCCGGCTCCGGCGCGTCCTCTCTCCGCCGCCGGCTGGTGTTGAGGCTCTGGCCAGGGCAGGTCGGCGACCCCGCCTGCTGCCGCGCACTTTCGGTTTCCTTTCCCTGCAAGGCCAGGGCGGGGCGAAGAGCCGGGCGGGCGGCCGGAGAGGTGGTGGAGGGAGGAGGAGGAGGAGGAGGAGGAGGAAAACGCGAAGGCGGGGGCTTCAGGGCGGCTGGCAGGGAGGCTGGGCCCCGGGCACAGCAGACACCTCCGCCTTCAGGGCGGGCGTCGCCTTAGCTCCCCCCAGCGGCGTGGCCGCTGGGCTCGAGCGAGCTCGGCTGAAGGGAGGGGACCGCGGGGGCCGGGTTAAATGCGCCCAAGGCCGTCGCAGGCCTCAGCCGGCCCGGGAGGAGAGGGGACTCGGCGGGCGGCTCGGTGCGTGTGAAGCGCGACATGGCGGCGAGGCCAACGAGCCTGGGTGGCCTCCTGTGTACAGGGGATGGGGCAGGACTAGACGCGGCCTTGACAACCATTAGAGCGCCTCGGGATGGGAGGCTGGGAGACTACATTTCCCAGTGGGCCCCGCGCGGGCGGGCGGGAAGCTGGGCGCCTCGGGCTCAGTGCGCAGGCGCCAGACCCTCCTTTGGCTATATAAAGGCGGTCCGGAGGCTATTCTTTCTTTTGCGTCTGCGGCGCTACCGGTGTATGTGTCTTTTGCGACCGTGCTTAGTGCGATGTCGTCCAGTCCGAGGAGCCCAGCTTTGTGTGTGGTGAGTGGAAACCCTGCAGTTCTCCATTCGAAATCTCTGGTTTGCCTTTATCCTCTTTGTGCCGTCGTCTCTGCGGCCGGCCCTACTCTCCCCTTCGCCGTGGCGTTCCACCTCTGACCTCAAATAGGCCTTAGGGCTGCGGGGAAGATGAGTTAGAGTTGGAAAAACCCGCGCCGTCTGCACGGGCCTGAGGAGTCCTTGGCTGGTGTAAACGATGACTTCACTTTTTTCCCCATCAGATCGACAATGCTGATGCCTTACAACACTTGCCAGTTATTTCTGATACACCAGCCTATAAAAACACCCAGCTCTGTTTTCTGACCGTGGGAAGGTGGTGACTGATGTCCTTTCTTTGTTGATGCACAGGTTAGAGGGCGATCAGAGTGTACAGAATGTGTGTTGGAGCAGGGGTGACCACTGGGCCTCCGAGGGAGCCACGTGCAGACATGTGCAGCCTTCGATCTCACGACCTCTAGGTAAGCATGTCTCCTGACCTATTGTATGAAATACATGCTTTAAAGAACCTCTTAGGTAGGTAGGCAAACTTGGGAAAGAACTTACATAATTTGTTTATTTTTTTCCTTTTTGAGTCACCATCTCTTTCCTTGGGAAGAGTGCAGTGGCCTGATCATAGCTGTAATCTCAATGACCTGGGCTCAAATGATCCTCCTACCTCAGCCTCCCAAGTAGCTGGGACTATGGACACATGCTACCATCCCTGCATAATTTGTTTATTTTTTTGTAGAGATGGGGCTCCTGGCTCGGGCTGGCCTCAAGTGATTCTCCCAACTTCACCTCCCAAAGTGTAATGATTATAGGCAAAGTAAGCTAATTTTTATTGGCTTATTAGGTTTTTTTTTTTTTTGAGACAGTCTCGCTCTTGCCTAGGCTCGAGTGTCGTTGCGTCAGCCTACCTCACAGCAACTTCAAACTCTTGGACTCAAGCAATCCTTCTGCCTCATCTTCCCTAGTAGCTAGGACTACAGGCATGCACCACCATGCCTGGCTAATTTTTTCTGTATATATTTTAGTTGGCCAATTTCTTTCTAGTTTTAGTAGAGATGGGGTCTTGCTCTTGCTCAGCCTGGTCTTGACCTCGAGTGATCCTCCTGCCTCTTTGCCTCCCAGAGTGCTAGGATTACAGGCGTGATACACCCCACCTGGCCGGCTTATTAGGTATTAAGTGTGCTGTATGCTTTATTGTCCTTACAGTTTACCTATTGGACTTAGATTCCTGGTGAAAAAAACAGGCTTAAGAGAAAATGGCTGAAGTGGAGTAACTTTGGTGAAAAGGTGTTTAATGTATTTTTATTGCCACTGAGAACACGATTTTGGATTCCATTTCTTCATGTGTGCTTTCTTGGGCACTTAAATTTCTTTCCAAGTGGATGTATATTATGTGTTGACATATTTTGGAAAACCAAATGTGGTTTTCTCTGGAGCTAGCCACTCAGCCAATTCCCAACTGCATGGCTTTTTTTTTTCCTCCTGAAGTCTAGGATTGAGGCACTTAAGGGCTGGTGGACTTCTTGGGAACACTTATGGAAGCTTCTTGTCACAGATTGTTCTTTGGTCAGGTTTTTGTGATAAAGTCTTACGTTAAAAACCTCCTGACACTTGCTCAGAAACCGTTGTCACTTCTCAACTCAGTAAAAGCTAACTATTAACTCTTGCCAGCCACACTGTCTGCTATCACATGGGCTATACTCAGATAGAGTTGTAAATTCTGAAGGCAGGGGTGTTTTGGCTGTTACATCACATCACTGCTAACGGCCGGATACAACACAGAAGTGCTCAAATATCAAATGAGTTTGCAGCTATGGAAGCATACCAACCAAGTCTTAATTCATCTCTCAGGGTGTTCTAGGGCTAAAGAGCTTCCTGCTGGCGTATATGATGACTGAACTTTTTTCCCCTGCAGATCGACCATGTTGATCTAACTTGCCTAAGCCAGTTTCTGTCTGATATGCCAGCTTGAGCAGCTCCTCTGCACACCCCGATCTCTTGAGTATCTAGCTGACGGGAGCTCATGTCTGTTTTCATCTCAGGCTTGCTTTTGGCACAAGCTAGACTTTGAATGGACCAGGAAGAATCTGGATGTGGGAAAGGATTGGTAAGTGGTGCCCACATGTCTTCCTTGTCTGAATAGACATAGGATCTGTTGGGGGATGGTAGCTGCTTTTCCTTTTTTTTTTTTTTTTTTTTTTTTTCTTTTTTTTTAAGATACAGGGTCCCTTGTCTCCCAGGCTGGAGTGCAATGGCTTAATCATAGCTTATTGCAGCCTCAAATTCCTGGGCTCAAGTGCTCCTCCCACCTCAGCCTTCCTAGTGGCTGGGATCACAGGCATGCATCAATATGCCTGGCCTGCTTTTCTTTTTCTACTCGGACTGAAATTTGGCCTTTGCAGCTGATGACTTACCTTTTTTCCCCATCAGATCGACCCTGTTGATCTATGCTATTAGCCAGTTTTGTCTGATGCATTGGCCCCAGAAATACCTTGCTTTCTGCTTACCCATACTAGCCTACTCTCTTACATGAGAGAGTTAGGCTTGCTCTATTGGCTTTTTTAAGCATACAGATGGTTTATTTTGGCATTATCTGTTAACATCCTATAGGTCAGAAGCCCTGTGTGGCATTGGGTGTTGATGTCAGCCTGATCTCTTGGCTTGTTCAGCGTGTCCTGTAACAGGTGAGGCTTCTGCTTTGTTTTTATCTGTCAACTCCATAGCAAAATTATTTGGGTATAAGACCAGGAGCATTAAAATTAAGTCCTTCTGGAGGCTGATGTTGGCCTATTGGTACTAATAGGTCTTCTAAGAAAGGAATTTTCTTTGTCTTGACATATGCACCTTTTTACAAATTATGCTAATGGGGAAGCTGCTTTTACCAAATCCCTATGGTAAATGTCATCCCCTGATTTGTCTAGTGTACTTCATTAATGGAAGGGGAATAAGCAAACTAATGACACTTCCTCCACCCCTTGAGTAGTGTTTTTGCTTGCTATAATAGATATGGTTCCTGATAATCCACTCTACAGCTTTTTAATGAAAAACTTAAATGCAGAAATTAAGTTATAGTTCATGATACTGATCTCTCATTCACTTTGTCTTTGTGTATATAAATGTGCATAGTTTTACCATTTGAAAGTAAGTTGCTTTCATGACCCTCAATCCCTAAAGGCTAATTTATGTGCAGATGACCAGCCTTGGCCATAGGTTCCCCTATCCCTGGAAAAGACTGTTGTCCCCATGTAACTGGTCCTCACAGCTGAGATATTTAAATAATTCCCTAATGTGTACTATTCTCTTCATATTCAACTATCCCTATTTGCCCCTAAAAGGTCTTTTTTATACATTGTACTTGAGTTATATCTCTTGAAAGTTTTCCAGCTCTCTTGGGTCCGGTGCATGATTGTATATCCGCCTAGTGGATGGACTTGGAATGACCTGGTCTGAAGCACCCATATCCCCAGCAAGTAGTACTTAAGACCAGCATGGAGCACTGATTGTAATCTACCTTTTTTCTTCTTAGAAAGTTTCTTTAATTGGAGTTGGAACACAAGATGAGGCCTCTTGAAAGAAAGACTGACCCTGTTCTCCTGAAAGTGAAGCAGTTACCCAAGGTTATTGTGTATGCAGCCGGAGTTCAAAGGCTCTGCCTATTATTTGAAAAATCAATTATTGTTAGACCTTGGTAAAATCTCTAACTTTGTAACCTTCCTACCTGGAGAAAGAAAATAAAATCTTTAAAGTCAAAATGCTGTTGTATTTGGCCATTGGAGGTAAACAATAATGGTGCTAACAAGTAGCAACCAGGTAGCCACATGTTTCATGTGGGTTATTTACTGGTTCCAGGTTCTATCATTGAAATTGCATGGATTTTCTTTATTTTGAGACAGGGTCTCACTCTATTGCCCAATCTAGAGTGCCATGGCATCAGCCTAGCTCACAGCAACCTCAAACTCCTGGGCTCAGGAGAGCCTCCTGCCTCAGCCTCCCGAGTACTGGGACCACAAGCATCTGCCACCATGCCCGGCTAATTTTTTATATATATTTTTAGTTGGCCAATTAATTTCTATTTTTAGTAGAGGTGGAGTCCCTCTTTTGCTCAGGCTGGTCTCTGAGCTCAAATGATTGGCCCACCTTGGCCTCCCAGCTTGCATGGGTTTTCAATATGGTCTTAGAATTTTACTTCTGAAAGCTGGGACTCTAGGTTTCTAAAATTGTTTTCAGTGAACCTCAGAAAATTTTCCCTTAAGTGGGCTGGACCTAGTGTCACTTCTGAGACTAGGTAATAAAATTCTGACTCTTAACTCTCCTTGGCAAGCTGCCATGTCGGTGTAACAAGGAAATAGTGTGCAAGGAACAATCCTCCCAACAGCCATTTTGGGTTTGTAAGCACATCCTCAGAGTGGAGGCAAATATATTTCAAGCCACTAAGTTTTGGGTTAACTAGTTACACAGCAGTAAATAGAGCTCCATAATCAATTTGTCTTTAATGGTTTGATGTCAGGAACATCCATTAAATCAGCCATCTGACCCTACTTAATTTCTTGCTATGACATTCAAAGCTGTTTTTTGTGGTCTCGCTTACATTTCCAGACTTGTGTTCTCCTTTGTGTGTTCAATATAACATGTCATGTCCAAAACTGAATGCTTAATTCTTAAACTCCCAGTCCCGTTTTCCCCAAGTATTGGCAACACTAGCAGTCTGGTTGCTTAGGCCAAAAACCTTGGAGTCACCGTTGGAAACTCGCTTTCATTCCCCATATGAAACAGCAGATCCTATTGGTTCTATCTTCTGAAACTTGCCCCCTCAACCACCTTCATTGTTACTACCTTGGTCCAAGTCACCATCATCCAAACTTGGAATACTCTACTAACATTGCCTCCTATAATCTATTCTCTGAACTGCAGCCAGAGTGATCTGTGAGAACAATCACAGAACTGTCCCTGCTCAGAACACTCCAGAGTCTCCCCAGTTCACACAGTAAAAGCCAAAGTCCACATAGGGCCTACATGATTTTACCCTCTTTTTTGAGATAAGAGTCTTGCTCTGTTGCCTGGGCTAGAGTGCTGTGGCATCATCATAGCTCCCTGTAACCTCAAACTCAGGCTCTAGCAATCCTGCCTCAGCCTCCCGAGTAGCTGGGACTATAGGCATGCACAACCACGACTGGCTAACTTCTTTTTCTTTTTTTGAGACAGTCTCACTGTTGCCCAGGCTAGAGTGAGTGCCATGGCATCAGCCTAGCTCACAGCAACCTCAAACTCCTGGGCTCAAGCGATACTACTGCCTCACCCTCCCGAGTGGCTGGGACCACAGGCATGCGCCACCATGGCCGGCTTATTTTTTCTATATATATTAGTTGGCCCATTAATTTCTTTCTATTTATGGTATAGACGGGGTATCACTCTTGCTCGGGCTGGTTTCCAACTCCTGACCTTGAGCAATCTGCCCACCTCAGCCTCCCAGAGTGTTAGGATTACAGGCGAGCCACTGCGCCCAGCCTAACTTCTATTTTTTGTAGAGATGAGGTCCCACTCTTGCTCAGGCTGGTTTTAAGCAGTCCTCCAGCCTTGGCCTCCCAAAGTACTAGAGTTACAGGTGTGAGCCACTGCACTCAGCCTCTTCCCCCCCTTTCTTCCCTTTCTTTCAGTCTGAGTTAGCCACATGGGCCTCCTAGCTGTTCCTCCATCACTTTAGGATCACTCCTACCTTAATATCTTTGTACTTGTCCCTTCTGCCTAGAATGACCAGCCCTAGACTCCCAGAGCTTTGCATGGCTCCCTCCCTTGTCTCATTCAGGTATTTGCGCAAATACCACCTCTGGGAACCTATCAAAAGGAGTCTTCCTTGGCTGGGCATCATGGCTCATGCCTGTAATCCCAGTACTTTCAGAGGCTGAAGCAGGAAGATACTTTTAAGGCCAGGAGTTTGAGACCAGCCTGGGTGACATGGTGAGACCCTGTCTCCACAAAAAAAATGTAAAAAATTAGCCAGCCAGGTGTGGTGGCTTATACATGTAGTGGGGAGGATCACTTGAGCCCAGGAATTTGAGATTGCAGTGAGCTGTGATCACAGCTCTGCACTCTGTCTCTGAAAAAGAAAGTAGTCTTCCTTGCCACTTGCTATTCCCTTATCTTGTAATTTTCTTCATACTGCTTATCATTGCCTAATAAATACTGCCAATGCATATACTGTATATGTCCATGTGTGCATATATAATGTATTTATATGGCATTTGTATATATTATCTATCTCCTGCCATTAAACCGTGACTTCATGTGGTAGCAACTCCATCTCCTATGTGGCCACCTCCACAGCACATGGCACAGTGCCTGGCACACTGGCACGTGGTAGGCCACTCAATAAATATTTGGTAAACCAAAGAATGAATCAGACACTTGACTTGTGGCAGGACTGCTAAAGCATTTGACAGGCACGTTGTTTCTCATGGCAACAGCTCTCTGAGGGGAGAACTAGCGTGCTCGTCATCTCAATTGCGTGGGTGGGGCTCAGAGAGCTATGGTTCCTCAACTCTAGGAGACAGAATGGGGTCAAAGACCCTGATCTGTTTGACTCAAAGCACCTCCTGGTCTGCAACTTGCTGCCTTCTAGAGCAAGCAGGGTTTTTTATTTGTCTCCCTTGCGGTTCTTGTATTAATATAATTGTATTCCTTGTATTAATATATAGTAGGTGCTCAATAAAGCAAAAACTAACTACAAGTTTCCTTGAACCATCACTCAAATCAACAACACTGAAGGAAGATGTGTTCCAGGGCCCCTAGGATGTTAAAGAATGTACACTGTACCCTTGAACATCACGGGTTTGAACTGTGATGGATACAGTCTAATGGATACAGGAAGAAGCTAATTTCTGGCACTTATATATGGATTTTTTAAAATAAAAGTTGCACTGTATGTGCCTGCCTCTCCTTACATCTCTGCCTCTTCCACCTCTGCCACCTCTGAGACAGCAAGACCTAACCCTCCTTTACCTCCTCCCAGTGACGTTCAACGTGAAGATGATGAGGGTAAAGACCTTTAAGATGATCATTTCTCTAGCTTGCTTTATTGTAAGAACACAGTAGATAATACACGTAACATACAAAATATGTGTTAATTAACAGTTTATGTAACTGGTAAGGCTTCTGGTCAACAGTAGTGAGGACTGACCTCTGACTTTTTTTTTCTCTTGCCCAGATTCCTTTCTAAGAGTCCTGATGAGTCATGCCTACAAACAATAAAATCTCATTAAATGTGTTTTTATTAACCTGGTATAATGTGGCTCACTTTCCAACCTGAGTCCAGTGTAGTATCACATGACAAATGGAAGATCCCCTTATCTTAACTCAAGCATTCTAGCAGACCCTCTATCTTAAGCATTCCTTTCTATTGACTGCAGATCTTTAGACAAAGCTTAACTCTTTTCAACTAACTGCCAACTAAAGAATCCCTAAACCCACCTATGACTTGTAATACCCCCTTTGAGATGTCCCACCTCAACAGGTCAAACCAATATATACCTTCCATGTATTGATTTATGATTTTACTTGTAATTCCTGTCTCCATGAATGTACAAAACCAAACTAACCTGGCTGCCTCAGGCACATTTTCTCAAGACCTCATGAGACCATGTTTCCCTGGCTGTGGTCTTACACATTTGGCCCAGAATAAATCTCTCTCTGTTTTTTTTTTTTTTTTTTTTGAGACAGGGTCTTGCTCTGTTGCCCAGACTAAGAGTGCAGTGAAATCATCATAGCTCACCGTAGCATAGAATTCCCGGCTCAAGCGATCTTCCCATCTTAGCCTCCCAAGTAGCTAAGACTACCACACCACCACACCCGGCTATTTTTTAAAATTGTTTTTTGACAGCGAGCAAACTAAGAATTTATTTTTAAAATTTATTTATTTGTGTTTTGAGACAGAGTCTCACTCTGTCACCCGGGCTAGAGTACAGTAGTATGATCATAGCTCACTTCAACCTCAAACCTCTGGGCTCAAGCGATCCTCCTGCCTCAGCTTCCCGAGTAGCTGGGTCTACAGGCACGCACCACTGTGCCCGGCTAATTTTTTTTATTTTTAGTAGAGACGGTGTCTCGCTGTTGCTCAGGCTGGTCTTGAACTCCTGACCTCCAACAATCCCCCCACCTCAGCCTCCCAGAGTGCTAGGATTACGGGTGAGCCTCAGACCTGAACCCTTACTATGTGTTAATCTCAGTTCTTTACACGTAATAAAACATTTATTCTTCCAGCATCCCTATGAGGCGGTTTGTATTATTAACAATGCCATTTGACAGTTGAAGGAACAGAGAGGCTCAGAGAGGAAACACTTGCCTAAGGCCACTAAGGTGGTGAGTGGCAGAGCCAGCACTTGCATTCTGTCAGTCTGGCTCCTGCATTTGTAATCCTTGGCTTAATTGCAGCATTTTACTTAAGTGCAATCTAATGGGTGCAGGAAATAGCTAGTTTAAGTTCAAATGCTTTTGCTGGACTTCCCTGCTTATGCCCACATGGTTGACGAGATACTGCTGAGGTTAGAAATGGCCCCAAATGCCTGCCAGCCAGGGGCCCGAGAAGCTCCCTTGAGAGTTCCCAGCCATATCCTGAGTCTCTTGATTTTGCTGTTGTTGCTTCTCCGAGCTCCAAGAGCAATGGTAGGCCTCTGTAGCTCAAACCCTTTGCAACCCATCTCCCCAGCTTCAGGTCCCACCAAACATTTGATGCTTCAGTCTCCTTTTACCTCTTGGTCCT